TATTTCATGTAATTTTCAATTAAAATAGTTAATGTTTAATCGTAGTATATAATTTTTCACAAATACCGAGATATCTCATAGATACCGAAAAATCCTGATAGTTAAAATTATTGGTATTCAGAGTGAATTTATTTAAAACAATAAAAAATTGTTAAAGCCTAAAACAAAATGATTTGTCTTTTTACAATTATCATAAAATAACAACAAATGATTCATTCATCTCTTTTCTTCAATTTCGCAACCTTTTTCTATTGTATCATCGAAAATCATTTTGTAACAATTCATATATTTCAAAATAGATATTACGCTCTTAGATATTTAAGAATTCTTTTCGATTATTAAAACTTTCACACAAATCTTACGACAACAACAAAAAAGCGCAAAATGATGCGATTGAATAAATGCGCCGATATTTATGAATGATTTCAATTAATAATAAATATATAATAAGAAAAAATTTCATCAATTCATTAATTAAAACTTTTATTAATTAATTCATTAATTTTCATTAAAACTTTCATTCCAATTTCACTTTCAATTTTTAACTTTAAATATACTCAAGGTAACATTTTCTTTTCTTTCAATGACAAATTATACTACCTTGAAATATAACATATAGATACATACATATCTATATGGAAATTTCATTCAACCATAATATCGGATTTAGATTTGCATTTTAAATTTCTGAGAATGCCTGATGAATTCTTTCGTTACACTAAACAAAATAATTTGCTAATGAAATATTCGAACTTATTTTTTCTTAAATAAAATTTTAATTTATTGAAATAATGAAGAAAGCAAAGGAATAAGCTAATCAATTTAATAAATAGTTTAGATATTGATTAAGTGTTAAGAATTTTGAATGATAAATAAATATGAATAGAATATTGACCTGAAAATGTACTCAAAAAGTAATTTGACCTGAAATTAATGAAGTGGAAAAAAATTAGCAATGGAAGTATTGTTATATAGCAAGCGTATTGTTGGTGAGATAAGAGAAATGAGAAGTAGCAATAGCGGATATATATGTGGCAGTGGTGGTAGTAGTAGTGGTGGTGATGGTGGTGGTGGTAGTGGTGGTATTCTGTATCCTACTGAAAATGACTGATTGTGTGATAACCCTTCAAATATCAAACTGACATTTAAACTGACATTAAAAATGTCAGTTAAGAGAAAAAACTCTAAATTTAAAAAAGTAGAAATAAAAGAAAATGAAAATAATATAGCAATTGAGTGAAATTCTACGACAGTTAAATAGACAATAAATATCACATAAGAGATAACGTATTTATCAATTTCTTATCATCGTAAAATCGATAAAATACTTTTTTGAGCTCATTAAACTTTCTATAATTTATAAGTGAATATGACTCAACTTATGAGTCAATATCAACCAACTTACCTCAACTTATCTATATCCCTATGGGAATATAAGTCAACTTATAAGTCGATATGACTATGGGTTAATATGATCAACTTACGAAATAATATGAGTCAACTTATGAGTCAGTATAAGTCAACTTACCTCAGCTTACCTCTATCCCTCTCTATGAGAGTATGAGTCAACTTATAAGTCAATATGATCAACTTATGAGTTAATATGATTAACTTATGAATCAATATGAGTCAACTTATCTCATCTAACCTATATCCCCCTTCCTATGAGAATATAAGTCAAGATAATCAACTTATGGGTTAATATGATCAACTTACGAGTCAATATAAATCAACTTACGAGTCAATATAAGTCAACTTACTTCAACTTATCTATATCCTCCTTGTTTCCACCTCCCATCTATCATATAAAATGGTTAGAAAATAATTTAAAATATTTTTAACAATAATTGAATGAATGAGAAGAGCAGAAAATAATCATAGTAAAATAGAAATAACGATGAAAGATTGAAGTAAATAATGAAGCGAAGGAAAGTATGTTAAACTAAACTAAGCTAACTAAACTATGTTTTGTTGTTTATTTAGGCATTTATATATTGGCTCAAAATTGCCTTTAGAGGTATAAACTAATCAATCTTCTAGCAATAAATTGAAAGTTTTGAAATGATCAATTTTTGAAAAAGATAAGCTAATGATTTTATTGATTATTTTTTCTCTCATTACCTCGGAACATAAGCATAATCTTGAAGAATTAGCTAGCGCATATCATCAATCCTCTTTTTTAACTTTAATGAACTTGCATAAGATGCATTGATACATTTGTTACAGCATATATATTTTATTACTATAATGGCATAATCAGGTATTTACCCGCTTATATACATATATCACTCAACATGACCATTAGCACCAGTATTGTCCATTCCTCCTAATCATTGACCACTTATAATTGTTTCCTTTCTTCCGGGTTTTGTTTGATTATGCAACTTAAACAAATATCGATTACTTATATCATTTATCATGACCATTAACACTAGTATTGTCCACTCCTCTCTTAACCACTAATATTGTTCATTTCCCTCCAACCTTTGTTTGATTATGCAACTTGAACAGATATCGATTACTCTTCATTAGCTGTTTGTTAGGTTAACAGAGATAAATGTCCATTTTTGATGATTGACCTTCAGTGATTGTGCTTACACCCATACATATATACCTTAGAATAACTATTAAAGCTAGAAATAGACATTACGAGATATTGCATAAGCCTGCAAAAAGAATCGGCTAAAAAAATCCTACAACAGAATCTTCTCAAATTTCTCAAAGTTTTATCTTATTTAAAATCATAATTTCGATCCTACCATACAACTTAATGAAATTTCACATTCATAATTCTAATTATTAATTACCAATTAAAAGAACATAATGTATTAAAATTATTAATTAAAATATTGAAAGAATGAAAATATATATAAAACAAATAAAGGCAAAATGAAAATTAAACTTTAGTTAAATTAAAAGTTTGAGAAAATTTGCAAAATCTGAAATTGGAAAAATGTAAAAATTGAATTCATTTAACGATGACGACGACGACGTCAATAAACAGCTGTCTTCAACACTGACTGTGAATTGCGCTCAAAATTTGAGAATGTGTAAGAATTATAAATTAACTACCGAACAAGTTTTCTACTTGGAAATAGAAATTAAGATGAGAGTGAATAATGAACGAGAAACATATGTTGAAAACCTGAACTATCACTAAAGATTTTTTTTAGCTAAGAATAAAGATCATTCCCTCTCTTCCTCATTCCCTCTCTCTTTTTCTCTTCCTCTTTTTAAACAAACAAATTTCATGAAATTCATTAGGTATATAATTAAATAGGTATAGACTTTATTGAGCCTATCATTTTATTATTCATTTGCTTTCCGGCGTATCCCTTTGGTCATTTCATTTTAATCATAAAAGTGGACAATGCTAAATTATATTTGTGATCATTCCTAATAAACAATTGTGACAGATATGTAATAGTGAATATTGTGATATCGACAGATATGTAATAGTGAATATTGTGATATTGACAGATATGACAGATATGTAAGAGTGATAAAAAGTGAATTTAATTAATAAACTGAACAAAATTAAAACAAATATTATCAAATTATAATAAAATAAAAATGAAGAAATGATTGAGAAGTGGATAATTGTATGAGATTAACAAAATAATTCAAAGAATTTGTCATTTAATGAAATTTGAAATTGTCCTATTTTTATTGAAATTAAAATTATTGCTCTCTCTCTCTCTCTCTCTCTCTCTGTTTCTCTTTCTAATCTTTTTAATGATAATAAAAAGTTATACTATCATATCATATCATATTGTATATTTGCTTTCGGTAATTTATTACGCCTTTTTTTGCTTATAAAATATTTTCAAACATTTTACATTTTATTATAGAATATAAATTTGAATAGATTTTTCTTTTTGTTATAGAATTAATTAAGCTTTTAAGTTTTCAAGTTTTTAAGTTTTGAGGAAAATAATTTCAAAGGAAAAAAGTTCCTATAATTTTTTAAAGATTTTAATTTATAAGTTAATTTCTTTTTAGTAAAATTTATTATTAAAATTTATTAAAATTCACTAATTAGTTTAATTGCAAATATGCTTCTTCGAAATGATGCAAACAATGAATGTATAGAATGAAGCTATCATTTCATTATGACACAATGAAAAGAGACTTTGATAAGGTCAAATGTTAACAAAATTCATTTCTTCCCTTCTGCGCAATCTATGAATGCGGCCGATATTACGACACGAAAAGGAATCTTCTTATTCTGCAATGATATTTGTTCCACTTTATATCACTTTCTCAATTTATTACTGTCAGGTAATCTCTCAGGTAAAGTGGTCAAGGACAGAAAATTACAGTGAAAAAAGATAGCATTCGAATATTTGTATATATTAAATAATTACTTTCAAATTAAAATAATAGCAGCAGAATGATGAAATAATATAAAAATGAAGTTTTTTAGAAGGGAATAGATTAGGTCTGATATAGAGAATGGTTATTGTATCAATTATGACCTTTGACTTCTCTAAAAGTGGAAAAGTAGTGGTGGTGGATACGAGAGTAAAAAGTGTATCATCAGCAAGTAGCTTTGAGGTTACCGCTTAGAGATAAAACTATTCTACTAAAATACGATATTGACCTTCACCAATAATTTGAATGCCTTTCAAAAACTATCTTATACTCATAAAGCACGAACAAAGGTCAAGAAGCTTTATTGCTCGTATACCCGATCATTTGGATCCAACCATTTCTACGTCTAATTATTGATGCATTCCGGAAACACTATTATCGGGTTACAGTTCGTAGGAATTACCTTTCGCATAAATTAGAAAATTCTATACCATTCCTCACATCAATCGATTACTTAATTATTAATGCATTCCGGAAGCACCATTGTCGAGTTACAATTCGATAAAATTTCTATCATTCCTCACATCAATCGATTACTTAATTATTGATGCATTCCGGAAGTACCATTATCGGGTGGTTATCATTCCTCACATCAATCGATTACTAATTTGTATGTTTAATTTTTCTCATTTCTCCGTTTCTGTTGCTAATTCTACAAAGTATAGCACTTCGCTACATTTTTCAGGATAATGAACCTAAACTTAGTAACTGATATTATATCTTCTAAATATCGATATTATTAAATAAGTAGTATCTGTTAATAGTAAGTAATACTTAATAGCTGTTAATTATTTGTGACTAGAATGGCGTAGGAAAGATTTCCGTCTTTTTTACCTCTATCATTTCGAATAAATAAAAACAAATCTAACAAACGTATCGAACATTTTAAAGAGAGTATCAATGAAATCACACTTCGAGAAACTTTAAACTACGAAACAATTCAATGCAAATGTTTCATGCGTATACTATTTTAAGAAGTGAAATTTAAATGGAAGCTATTGTTATGGAAGGATGATAAATTCACGATTGATAGGCCTAAATAGGAACGAATAAAAAAATATGCAAATTAGAAAGCAATAAATTAGGATTATTTTTGGGGACAGCAAATGATAAAGTTAAATTTATCATTTATTAAAGGTAAAAAAGATTAAATATTATTGTTTGAAAATATTTATGACAAGTTAATTAACTGACAAAAATGTAATTTCAATAAGCATAAATGGTTGTTAGTTTTTATTGCAGTAAAGGCTGTCACAAATAGATTAAACTGACTTATTGAAAGGAAATAATTTTAAAGAATGACTAATTATCTTACCTTTTTTTATACTTTTCAAATATTAAAATAAAAGTTCATTTTGAAAACAAGAATAACACACACACATACATACACACACACACACACACACACACACACACACACACACACACATACCACTAACCTTTCGTTTCCAAGCAGTAAGTGGAGATGGTATCTTCTGATCAAGAAGTTGACTGTGCTTTGTTTCGCTCGAGAATTTTAATCTGTCGTCAATGGCATTCTCTTTTACCAAATCAATACTTTCCATTGAGAAACATGTACGATTGATCTGAAATTTAAAATTTCAATTGAAATTGAAAAATTGAATACAATCAAAAAATAATATTAATTATATGAATTAAAATATCGATTATTTGCATAAAGAATTTGTCGTATGAAAAGAAAAAATAAACAATCGATAAGATTACTGTAATGTAAATGATAAATAAATTTCTCTAATTACTAAAATCTACTAATTTTCTTATCATTTCTTAACATTAAAATTCTCCATGATAATAATTATGAATATTGCAAAATGATAAGATATCATTCTAATCTTCTTATTCTTACTTTATCCTAAAATAATTTATTAATTATTACAACAATGTTGAAATTTTGAAATCAAAAAAATTTATGATAGTATAAAAATACTAAAATCTACTAAAATCTACTTTCTTATCATTTCTTATCATTAAATTCTCTATAATGATAATTATGGATATTGTAAAAAGATAAGATATCATTCTAATCTTATTATTCATACTTTGTCCTAAAACAATTTATTAATTATTACAATAATGTTGAAATTTTGAAATCAAAAAAAATTTACGATAATGCAGAAAAATCAAAAAAATCTACTTTTGCATTAGCGCAATCAATATTTCTTCGCCATTGCACACCATCATTTGAGTCCGATAATTTTGGTATTTGTGAGAAAGGTCGATATGATTTGATATTTTCTGATAATACTAAATTCCTTTTGAATATTGGTAAACTGTTATTTGCTTCAGTTTCATTATTCCTCCATTCTGATTTCGAATTACATTGAAAAATGTCATCTTTGCCATTTGTTATGATTACCGATGAATTTCCCGCGGGAAATCTTGAAATATTGTCATTGTTGGAAACGATTTCGTTTGTTGAAGTAGTAGTTTTATGATGTTGTGATTTGAGATATTTTTTGAATGATTGATATTTTTTCCGAGATAAGAAACGCCATAAACGTGATATCTCATTGCTGTTATTTTCACTTTTAAAATTTTGCAAATTTAAACAACGATTAGCGCTATTGTCGTATGACGATGATAGAAAATGAAGATTTTCTGATTTTTCCGGATTTTTTGATGAATTAACAACAATTGCATGAGCTGATTGTTTATGACGATTTGATGGTAGCGCTTTTAGTACGATATGTGCTGTACAGGAAGTTTCCGGAATTTCCATTGATTGATGCGAAATATTCTGAAAGAGTGACATAATTATACTTATAATTACAGCAGTTCAATTTTAGGAGTTCAGGAGTTACAATTACAGGAATTCATGTTAGTCCTGATTTGGCGATAACTATTATTTACCTTTAACAAATAATTAAGGGCATATAAAAATAATAGTAATACTTTATTCATTATATCATTTTTTATTAATAATTCAATTTCTCATTTTTTTTAAATTCCTTTTTCGTGTTTTAATCCAATACGCTGAAAATTTAACCAATACCTTTTGCAAAATATATCTAAATGAAAAAATAAGAAGGAAATAAAAGTAAGGATTAATAGGTAATACTAATAATGTCTGGTAATAATGATAATGCTTAGTGATAACAATGATAATATCTAATTCGATAATAGATAATACTGATGATGTCTGGTAATAATGATAATGCTTAGTGATAATAATGATAATATCTAATTAGGTATTATTAACAGATAATACTGATGATGTCTGGTAATAATGATATCTCTTAGTGATAATATCTAATTATGATAATGCTTAGTGATAATAATGATAATATCTAATTCTGTATTATCAATAGGTAATACTGATGATGGCTGGTAATAATGATATTGCTTATCGATAATATCTAATTATGATAATGCTTAGTGATGATAATGATAATATTTAATTAGGTATTATAATAATGATAAAGTAAATAAATGAATCAAATAACACTACCTGAAATTCTCATTTCTCTCTCTCTCTCTCTCTTTTCCAATTTTTGTTAAGATGAAAAGTGATCACATTCTTCTTCTCTTTCTCTCTCTCTCTCTCCCAAAGTTTGGAAAAAATGAAAATTTGTGTGAGCATGTTGCCACCTTAACAAATTAGACAAACGTTAAACAAGACTGACTCATTCATACATTTCAAATTTTTACCCTTTCCTCTCCTTCTCTTCCCTTTTTTATTACTTAAACAGTCATCAAAATTTTCATTTTCTTTTATGGAAATAATCGAATAAACAAAATAGAGGGAAAGAGAGAGAGAGAAAGAGAGGGACAGAGAGAAAGAGAGAGGGACAGCGAGAGAGGGATAGAGTGGAAGAAAGGAACAAATTTCCCTCATGTAAAATAATAATAGGGAATGAATTGAAAAATTGAAATAATTTCAATTTTAAAAATTCATTCAATCTTACATTTAAACTTTCAATTAGAAATGTTTTATTAATAATAAATACAATTAAATTTATTTCAGTTAAATAATTATTTTAAATTTCATTTTATAAACAAAAGAAATTTATTAACTCATTTAATTATTTAATGAAAAAAAACGATACTTTTTTATAGGAATTTCGTTTTTGAAATTTTCTAAAATGATTAGAATTGAATTTCCGATAACTAATTTCCTCCGATACTTTATTATGCAATCGTATTGATTTTTCCGGAACATTATTACGTAATCGTATCGTTGGTGTCAAATTTGTTATGCCATCCATTTCGAATGAGTTATTGTCTGATTTTAGCTGAAATGATAATTTTAGATTGGAATAAAATGAAATGAAAATTCAATAATGAAAAAAGGAATTCATTTATAATTTATTCTCTCATACCTTTCCATAAGTAAATTTTTATTTAATTACTAATTTGATAATAGAAATATTACAAAATGATAACTTTAATTATTTAATTAATTTTTGGAAATTATTTACAGAGAATATTTTAATCTGAAATACCTTTAAAGGGTCATTTTGTGACTCATCAGGAAATACCGTATTAGCTAATTATAATTTAATACCATGTAAATAATTTTCGGAAATTATTTCTAGAGAATATTTTAATTTGAATTCAATTATTCACATTGAAATACCTTTAGAGGATCATTTTGTGACTCATCAGAAAATACCGCATTAGCATCAGTAATCGGACTAATAATATCAGTAGTGGCAACAGAATTGGTAGTACTACTGATAAAAGATGATGATTGAGGAGTTGAATGTGCGGTTAAATCAAAACTACTGGATGGTAATGAATCTATTTCGGCAAGAATTTGCGATGTCCATCTGTAAAAAAAATAAACATATAAATTTTCAACATGCAAAATAAACATCCATTAAAAAACTAATGATTATTTTGGAAGAAAAAAGATGAAATAAAGAAAATGTAGTAGATGTAGTAGAAAATGTCGTAGAAATGTAGTAGAAAATCGCAATTAACTCATTCTAAATATTGAAAGAAAAAGAAATGAAATTTAAATTTATTTATTTTTTCATTTAATTTTAAGAGCTATAAGATAAATGTAAACAAAATTTAATTCCATCTGTTCAAAATAATTCATCCATTTCAATCTGTGACAATACTGAAATTAGTTTTTGCAGCAAAAAAATGAAAAATTTTTTTAAAGTTTATTTACATCATAAATAGGTTACTGTAATTTGATGAATCATATTTATTTTTTTAGAAATTTATTTACTAATATTTGTTTCAAATTTAACAAATCATAATTAACTCATTTCAATGAGTTGAGTGAAATTATCAATATTAATCAATGCTTATCAGTTCAATATAACTTTCTCTGAGATATTTTCAATGAAATTGAAAATTAACTCATTTCAATGAGTTAATTATGATTTGTTAAATTTGAATGAAATGAAATAAAATCAAAGAGAGAGAGAGAGAGTTATGGTGGAAGATTAGAAATATCTTATATTTAATGTTTCTACTGAGTGAAATTATCAATAATAATCAATGCTTATCAGTTCAATATAACTTTCTCTGAGATATTTTCAATGAAATTCAAACGAATGAATAAAATATGAAAAGTTTCAAAAAAGAAAAGAATGAAAGAAATTCTTTTCTCTTCAGGGTGGATTGATTTATTGACAACTTATGTGTATGCTAAGTTATTGTTGTAAGTTATTTGAAGTAAAATAGGAAAAGAAGTTTCTAACATTTTTACTTCTATTAGATAAAATCATAGTGTAAGTAATATGAAAAAGAAAAGTAGTAGAAATTTTGAAAATTAAAAAAGTGAAATGAGTTAAGGAGAAAATAAACCTGGTAACGGAATCCTGATTACTAAAATCGATCATTGTACCGTTCAATTCTCGAACAGATACGGAACGTCGAACAAATGTATCTTTCTTTGGTTGTATATTTTCAGCATGAATATTCAATCTAAATAAGAGTAAAATGAAAAGATGATAAAAATTAATTAGAAGGATAATATATAATGGTAATTAGTTAGGAGGATGATAAGATAAAATTACTATAATAAAGATAAAATTACTATACTGTATAATTATACCCTGCTTGTGATTCTGCTTTCGTCTTCAATTGATTGTTAGTGAATGAATTTAATTTATAACGAACTGTACGACGATGAGCTTTTCGAGCTGCTGGTCCTTAGAATTATTACAATTATGATTAAATATATTTATTAATTTCTTGTTGTAAATTTTAATTTAAAAATTTAATAAGAAATAAATTATATTAATAATAAATTTATAAAATGCTTAAAATATCAAACACGCCGCCCTCCCTCTCCTACCACCTTTTTGTTAAGGGTGGAAATAAAATAACACAACAAAACTAGTCTCACAATGAAGCTATTTATTTAAAGGATTTGAAAATAAAGAAAGAGAAGATAAATTTCGATGTAAGAATGTGTGAGCCATCGATTGACAATAAATATTTGAGTAGTATGTAAACGCGCCCCCTCTTCCTACCACCTTTTTATTAAGGATGAAAATAATATGACACAATAATTTATGAATGTAAAATAATAAGGTGTGAAAGGGAAAAAGCATGAAGAATAATGAGAACCTTTAAATTTTTGAAATGTATCAACCGGTTCAATTGATGCTAATGCTACCGGTGTTGAAGTTGATTTGTAGCAAATTTCGGTTGTCGATCGAGTAATCAAACTGGAATTAACATAATTTCGCTTTCTCCTCAATGAAAGAAAGGCTGATTCTCTTGCTGTTGCTGTTGTCGCGTTCCGTGCAGCTGCTGTTGATTGACCTCTCTTACGCGTTATTATCGTTAATTGAGTCTGTAAAAATTACATGTAAATTTTTTTCTTGAAACAACATAAATTTTTTTAAACAAATAATCACTAATTAATATAGCAATATTTTGTAAATATCAACGTAGTATTTTTATTACTAATTACTATTTGCAATAAGAGAAATTAATGAGAAAAAACATTCCTGAAATTAAATTTTATGCTGTGTTATTGTAACCTTTTAACCTTTTAATTCATACTAAGGTTACAATAATATTATCCATTAGTGTTGTATAAATAAAATTATGCGCAAAGGAGTAAAAAACAAAATTGTAAATATTTCAGAATTAAAATAGAACTATTACCGCCACAACGTATTATTCATTTCTGATCGTTTCATTTCTTAGAATCTCATCTTAATATTAGAATACGCAAATAATTTTTTTCTTTGTTTTTTTTTTAAAATAGCATTTACCGAACGTTTTCTTCGCTCATTAATATTATCGTTATCGCTACTGCTTGTTGTAGATTCTAATCGATGCAATTTATTTAAAGTTGATGTTGATCGTGATGTATGCTTGCCAAAAATTCCACCAGTTAAATTATGTCGTTGACGACGTGTAAAACGTTTACGACGTGATGATACGTAACATTCTGCAGTTGCTATAATAATTCTTTCATCAATTTTATATATTTCGTTGAAATTTTTTAATGTTCTCTTTCATTTTTTGCTGATAATTTCATAAGTTAATTTTCTTAGAAAATAATTCATTCGTCAAACAAACAAAACGATTTCTAAATTTTAATTTTTAATTTATAAACTAAAATTTGAATTAATATTATATCAAAAAAATTATATCAATTAATATTATATCACGAATTGAATTAATATTATATCAATTAAAAAATTATATCAGTTAAAGCAATAATTAAAATATTTTATCAATTAAAGTTATATCATAATATTATATCATTTCTTATTTGAGATATTACTTACTTTGAAGAGACATTACTTATTTAAATATAATATTAAATCATAAATAAAGCAAGCATTACGATACCAATTAGAAAAAAATTTTAATTCTTATTTCGGAATCCTTTTGATCTCATGAAAAATTTGAATATAATTCATAATTTGCCAATTGTCTATTCAAAATTTTTCCTGAAATCAAAAGGATTCTGTAGATGAAAAGATTTTCTCCTTTTTTTTTCTAAAAAATTAATATCGCAATTCATTTCTTTGATAAATTCTTCATATCACTTTCAATTCTTATCAAATCATCCATAAAATTTTCAAAATCATTTTTCTCTTGAAAATAAATATTTCTGAAATTTACTTCAAAAAGTATTATTAATATATGTTGAATATACCGGGTTGTTGATCGCCGTCACTTGATGATGAAAATGATTGTGAAAAATTGATTAACTCATGTTGAGATGCAAATTCAGAAGGAAAGGAATTGTTTCGATGAACAGCAGATGAATGAAAATCTGATGTTATTAACTGATGCTGCCTAAAAAAAAAGAAAAACGGAAATAGGAAACGTGAAAAACGTAAAATGACAGGAAATTAATGAAATAGAAAATAGCATCAGTTTTGTTAAATTAATTAAATTTCCAATTATCACTTCCTTCTTATTTCTTCCACTCTTAAAATCAATAATTTCATTACCCTTTTTTTTGGAAAAATTTTGTTCATGAATTTTAGGTCATTTTGTATTAATTTAATTATATCTTGCAAGTGGGAAAAAATGCGCTTGACGAAAATTGAAATTTTATGATAAATTTTTTGGTTACATATTTACCTATTTATCAGATATCAGTTAAGATGAGAAATAAGAAATAGTAGGTATCAGAAGTTGATGTGATATGTGTAAAATGTAAACAAAATATAGAGCACAAACTATTAATTTATAGGTTTATATTTAATTAAGCTTTAGTAGTTCATTACCGCTTCAACCTCAATTAATACTAATTTTACAATCTCTCCTCTTTTATAATTAACAATTATTCTTCGTCTTGCAATGATAAATCGGAAATGAGAGAAGAATCCTTCAATATCTTCTGTCCTTCTGTCTTCTGTCTTCTGGGAATTTTCTGTCATCTGGGAATCTTCTGTCCATTTTCCGCTTCCCTCATTTATTCCAACGATCCGTTGATTCATCTTTCTTACTTTAACAACAATGCAAATTTTACGCCTTCTCATGAATGATATTTCACTATTGATGAAAAAAATGCTGATAGTATTTGCAATTGCAAAATTAAATTTTTAAATATATTAGATGAAAATATGTTTTACGAAAATTTTAATTTATTTTTTGATTCAAATTGAATGATATATTTAAAATTATATCATTTCCAATTTGATTATTCTAATTAATATGTATTTCAATAAATTTTGCATTCGTTGAAAAAGATTTTAAAGAAAAAAAATTAATTCATTTCAAATTTTCAACATTTTCAACAAACAGAAAAAATATATTCTGAAATCAATGTTTACATTTATTTTGATAGGACTAAAAAAAATGACATAAATTCCACCAGCTTTCACATTTATCAAATAGTTGAAAATTTTTTTAATATGAAAAATCTTTGACCATAGAGTCACCCTAAAAACTCCCCGCAATGAAATTCCCTTGAGACCTGGAAAATATTTTAACTCTGAGATAGAATTTACGAAATGAAAGAAAATGAGCATAAATTAGATAAAAGCAACTTAAAACTATAAAGTGATTGACAAATGGCTTAACTAAAGCAATTATCACTTTGGTCCTATCCTAAATTCATTTTCCTCTTCAAAGTACCATATTATCTATTCAAATATAAGGTGACCTATTTTTATAATTTTAACAACTCTTTTTTTGATAATTTTTGTTCAAACAATTTACACACTCTACCTCTCCCTCTTTTATGCAATATTTACTACAATAATAAATTTTCTTTTGATTGATGCATTTCGTTGAATTTATTTCTTTAACAATTTTATGCGACACAAATTGACAACACTTCAGAAATTTAGAAATAAAAATTCACATCGCTGTAACTATTTGAATATGAATACTATTTTGGTGTAATGAATTTAATTTTTTTAAAAAAGGGAAAACAAACCGTTTTTGAAATTTAATTTGTTTAAGATCGTCGTTTTTGACAGTTACTGAGGCAAGTTCATGAAGACTTTGTGATATGGCATCCTGAAAATTAATTAAAACATTTTAATTTAAATCTTCAAAAATTTTTAGGGACAAAATAAATGGTACTATCATTTATGGATTAAAATCTATGAGTAGATGATCATCAATGCGCTCATCACTTGGAAAAATTTGTTGTCTAAAGATACCGATCGTCCTTTTAATTTTATCTGAGCTAAGGCGACATCTTAAGTTAAATTAACTTAGTCCTTTTAATTTTATTTGAGCTAAGGCTTCATTTTAAGTTCAATTAACTTACTGATTTTAATTTTATTTAAGCCAAAGCTTCATCTTAAGTTGAATTAAGAGTTAGTCCTTTTAATTTTATTTAAGCCAAAGCTTCATTTTAAGTTGAATTCACTTAGTCCTTTTAATTTTATTTGAGCCAAGGCTTTATCATAAGTTGAATTGACTTAGTAAGGTTGAGCATTTTAAAAATTTCAAATAAATCTTCCGATGGATAAGTAAAATTTGAAATTTAATTTAAGGGAATATTATTGAGAAAGTAATTATTCCCAAATTAAAAGTTTTTTCTTCTAATAAAATGAATTTGAACTTTTAGGAACCAAAATAGGAATTGTTTTAAAAAATTTAAAATTACAAAAGAAGAGAGCGAGCACTCTTTAAAACGTTGGCTAAGAAATAATTCATCGCTAACAAATTTTAAAAATTCGAAATTTCAAAACTTCAACAAATTTTAATTCAAATTATGATAAATATTTAAAAGTGATAGTAAGAAATTTTACAGCTATCGTTCAAAATGTCAAAATGGAAACTTCTCAAATGTTGTCAAAAAATGTCAAAATTTCAAATTATTTACAGCTCATCTTTTCTCCGATCATTGGCTGCCTTAATTCTGTTACTCAGAATATCACATTATGATATGAAATTCATAAAAATGTTAAAATGATTATAATTTATTAGATAAATGAATTTGTGAATTTATTCATGATGTGATTTTCATGAAATTTTAAATAGAAAGAAAACGTGTCAAAGGTCATTTTTGATTAGAGGAAAAATTGTTAATTTCTTTTCCATTCAACATACATACTTCTCATAAAATAGTTTTAAAAAAAAGCATTTGTGAAAGGTTAAAGGTTCAAATGATTATTTCAACGAAATTGTATGTAAATTTTCTGTCTCGCAAAAATTGGTACCATAAAAATTAATTGATATATTAATTAATTGTATTAAAATATTAATTAACCATTCAATAAAATTAACTTAATTTAAATTAGCTGTAATATGCAAATGTATCAGTCAGAATTGGTAGTTAAAATGAAATTGAAATTGAAATGAAATAATTAATGAATGAATAAATGCTAATTTTTTATTTCAAAAATAATTCACAAAAAAATTTAGCGTTGAAAAATAAAATGTAAAAGCGAAGAGAAAGAGAAAATGTGAAGAGAATTTCGATTTGGTATAAAAATAATTTTGAAACAATACAATGGTTATATTTACATATAATAAAAGATAATGTAATTTATACAATTGTACATACTCATTCATTCATTGTAATTATTTTTAACATAGCATGCAAAATGCAGAATTGCGCATATGCTTGCAAATTGCATGAACAAGAAAGAGAATTGGTAGTTAAAATGAAATTGTAATGAAATAATCACAAATAATTGCCAATCTTATTGGGGACATATTATCAATGGATTAGTCATTATGCAAATATATCACGAAATTTTTTACGATACAGGCGGTGCCTGTCTATGTCTATGTATGTGTGTGTGTATTGTGTGTGTGTGTGTGTGTGTGTGTGTGTGCTGTGTGTGTGTGTGATATTTGCGATCAGTAAATGATATTCAACGAAACGGAAATTATTACAGATGGTGCAATGTATTGTTGATAATATATGGACAATGAAGCAGTGATGATATCACATCAGATGAGAGCATTTCCTTCAAAGGTAATTTGATTAGCGAAAGTTATTTATTACTTTTTGAAGAAAATAAAAATGATAAAAGAAGAAGTGAAAATGAAATTCATTTACTTTTGTTAATTACTGATATGATAAAACAATGATAATATTAACATTTGAAAGTTTGAAAAGTGAAAAGTTAGACTTTAAATTTCTTCAAATTGGCTATGAAAAACATCCATGAAAATGTCATTTCAATTAAATTAAATTAAACAAAGCATGAAATTAGCTGTTTATCAAATATCCAAAAATAATACCAAAAATTAAACTATCGAAGCAAACTGTTGAAATTGGAGCACAGTATTGAAATACAGGAATACCGGATACGGTATAAATGTTTAAACTATCGAAGCAAACTGTTGAAATTGGAACACAGTATTGAAATACAGGTATACAAGAATACGGTATATGTGTACTGTATCTAAGTTTTATTCAATGAATTATGTGTTGAAATAAATGAATTAAATCATAAAATCAATATTTAAACTTTTTTCTCATTTTTAAAAAGAAGACCGGAAAAGAATAAAATACAGAATAAGTTTTTGTTGCTGAAAGAATTTGATTAATTATTTTTAATTTTTGAAACGCTTAATTATTAACTTTACAGCTATTTCTATTATTAACTTTACAGTTGGAAAGAATTTTTATTTGCAAATAGTGCCAGCCGCCAAAAAATATATCAAAAATAGTTTAAAGTTAGAAAAAAAAAGAACCATCCAAATCTTACCAATTAAGTTAATTTTAGCAAATTTTAAATTTGGAAACTTTTATATCGAAGTAATGATACCATATGATTCATTTCATCTAATCTAGAATTTACAGATATACGATCAGGTTATCAGGTTTTATCAGGTCAACTTATCATGAGTCTTTCATGATTAGTTTATTAGCAAATAAACTAAAAATATTGTTTTGCGCTTGTTGTTTAAATTTTAAAATGCATCCAATAAATGAATCCATAAAATTTAAACTAATTAGCAAAAGCTAAGAATTAAAAAAAATCCAACAAAAGTTTTCAAAATTAAAAAAAATTTATTTACAAAAATTGAGGAGCAAAATTTGATCTTGTAATTATTTTCTAATTAGCTTACAACATCATTTCATAGGTAGAAGAAATGTAGAATTCAGGTAGTGTCACTCTTATCACATCATATCACCATAAAGTTTAGTAAATCATTTCTGATCCTTAATTTATCACGACCTTTTATCATTTTATCCTTTCAAAAATCTCTCATGTCGATTCAGCGGCAATTTATGGAAAACGAAATGATCGATTGATCGATGCTTTCGGGTGAAAGATAAATTGTAAATATGATTGCTTCTGCTTGAACAAATACAACAAGCTGATTTTTTCAGATTTCTTACATACACACATGCATATACATACATATACACAGACACATACACACACATACACAGACATATACACACACGCTCACAGACACCCACATACATATACGCATTTTGCAACAAATTTAACACAATGATAAAGGATAATGATGAGGATTTGTTGATTTCGTCTATTAAAAATGGTGAACTTTCTACGCC